GAAGGAGGGCGCTCCCCCGCCTCTCTCTCTCTCTCTTTCTGTGCGTGTGTGTCAGCGGTGGCCACTTTCCGAACAAACTCCAAAAGTCTTTCTCTGGGCGGCCGTGCGCGCGCTCGCTCGCTTGCTCGCTCCCTCGCACGCGGGAGGGGCGGGAGGGGGAAGAGAGACGCGCGCGCTGCCGGGAGCCCGAGAGCAGCCGCAGCATCGCCCAGGCGGGCTTGCTCGGGAGTTTGCCTCGGTTTGTCGGGGATGAGAGCGCAGCCGGCGGAGGGGAAGAGCTGGATGTGGTGCCTCAGGGCAGCGTAAAGGGTTCTCTTTCCTCTGCGCCCAAGGTAAGCGGAGGGGGTGGGTGAGGGGGGGCTGAGAGCTTGATCCCATACAGCTCCGTGCCTGAGCGACACGTGTAAGACAAAAGCAAACGCCTTCCTCCTGGACCCTCTGGGGGGAGGGGGGGCTGGAGGCTGCGAACGCTTATCCCGCGAAGGGCAGAAGCTTGGGCTGGCGGGGGAGGCGGCGCTCGCTAGGGCGTCCGCGGTGCTCCCGTCGAGGTGAGGCGGACAAACCGCGGCTCTGCTGCCCGGCTCTCCAACGTAACTTGAGCGCAAGGCGAGGGTTTGCCCCATTGACTCCCGTGTCTTTCTCTCGAAGAGAAAGGTTTTCTTCGCCTAACGGGCGTTTGTGTGTGTGTGTGTGTGAAGTCCGGAGTGCTGCGAGAAGCAGTGCTACAGCTTCTGCTTCCTCCGCGTTACTTCAGAGTAGACCGCCGGGGCAGCGGGCTTACAGAAAAGGGTTTCCTTCCGTCCAAGAGGCTTTTTCTTTTCAGGGGTTCCTTTGACACTAAATGGACGCCCGGCCTTTCTGTCTGTCTGTCTGTCTGTCTGTCTGTCTGTCTGTCTCTCTCTCTCTCTCTCTCTCTCTCTCTCATGGTCGGGGCGGGGCGCGCGTGGTGTCTGTCACCCAGGAGGGTCGCTTGGGCGCCTGTCTTTGCTTGCGCTGTGTACTTTTCCTGGAGTCCGCTAAGAGGAAGGGTTCCTCTTGTCATTGCAGGGCATTGTAGCCTTAAAGGCTTCAAGATTGGGTGGGTTAGGTGGTGGGTAGGAATCTTTGGGCAGAAGATAGCCCTAGTCAGGGATGCCTTGCACACCACGCTCACACTAGCCCAGTTGGGGGCACCTGGTAGCCCGTGGGAGTGGTGGGGTGGGGTGGGCAGGACCTGGTGCTGTTGTTGGAAGAATCTGCAGTGGGGGAAGTTGTGCAAAGGCCAAGCCCTGGCACCCCTCTTCCTGGCATCTTCAAGATGGGTGCTGTGTTGAATCAGGAGGATGGGGGACCTAACTGTGCTCTGGATGCATGCTTTATGTACCCACCCTCTAACATGAAGGAGAAATCAAGTTAAAAGAAGTATAAATAGTCACTCAGGCTTTTGTTCTGATTGGTTTTAAGTGATTTTCAGCACAGCACTTGAAGTGGGAGTGGGTGGGGGACAGCTTGCAGTAATTCACAATACAAGGATACAAGGTTTGTGAATGTGGCTGTAGACCACATTAACCTGGTCGCACACTCTGAAACAACAATTACATTTCTGTAGTGACTTTAAATTAGAATTTAAATCGGAGAGGGACTCTCCTAAAAATGTGCCTGGTTAATTTCATTGCAGCCCTTGGTTAGAAAGTATCTTAGAGGATACTAAAAATAAGTGTGTTCGTTGTTATGAAAATGTTCCTGAACTTTTACTGCTGGGAAGTCCTGGATGACTAGGCTATACAAATAGAGATTCATGGGGAATCTAGTTTACGTTGGCATATAAATATTTTTCTTGTAGAGTTTAATAGTTCCCTTGTGTACTGGTCATTCTGGGGAGACACAGGAGAAGAAAGGAAACAGTTAAATGGTATCTAAGTTTGTTTATGGCTTTTCACTTAAACTAGGCTGGGACCACAATATGTAGTTATTTTCCCCAAGAGGACAGAATATGGTTTCAGAGGGGGAATGCTTCCCGTAATGTGTATGCTTATTCCACTTTTGACATTGGTAAGTAGTTCTGAGATCTGTTCAACAGTGGGGACAAAGGAAATGTGCATGGAGTGATTACAGTTTATACTATTCAAAGCAGTGCCTCTCTGGAACCACCTTCAACATCCTTAAAATCAGCCTGCAACTCATCTCCGATTTGGAGATTCGGCCTGCATATAATGTTATAGAACAATAGGGCTAGCAAAGTAAATGAGTTCAAGGAAAGCAGAGCTTAAAACCAGGCATATGGCAGATATAAGGACAGAGCTTCCGTACAGAAATGTAGCTTTTGGAAATCTCCATAGTTAGGTCAGCATTAAACAAAACTTTTTCATATTTCGGTTATTGGTCTGAGAGTTTGGGTAGAAACTAAGTACCAGCTAGAGGATTTTGGTGACAAAAGAATGCTAAGGAAAAAAACAAGAATGGCCAAGTCAGACTTGGTTCTTTAAATTCCTGAAGGTTGCACTGGGAATTAGACTTTATCTGAGGATGCAGAATCCTGTCCTAAACCCTGTGCATTTGGAAGTCTTGCTGAGCCAAGGGTCCCATGACCCCAGGCACTTGGAGCTTGCTGACACTTGTAATGATTGAAGCATCCGAATGTTGTGATAAGGCTATTATTCACAAATAAGATGTGGCTGCCACCTTCAATCTCTCTTCTCTTAGAAATTGTGTCTCCCTTCCCCCAGCTGCTGTGGCTGGTGACCTACTTATTAAAACGAAAGGCACCTGCTTCCCTTAATCCTGTTCTTGAACTTGGATTTGTGCGTCTTCTGTGTATCAGTATCTTTGGAAATTATACACATGCACAGGTATAGCATGTTTTAGTGTGCTTTAAAAAAAAAATGAAATCACACAGCCACTCTGCAGATCTGGATATTATCAACTTCACGTGTGAACACAGATATAAAATATAAAAATAATAGTCTGCCTGAATTTATTAGTTAGGATATAAGGATATATCTTTCTGCTGATGAGCTCTAGTTGCTTGGATCTCCTCTTCCTCATTCGTATTCCTACAACAACCTTGTGAGATAGATCATGCCAAGAGAGCCCAAGGTTGTCCGGTGGGTTTCATGGCTCGGTGAATCCGAGAACCTGAATCTCAGGAGTTCCAGAACTAGTACTGTATTGTAATCAGTGCATTACATTGGCTCTTAATTAGTTAATCTCAACTGATTTGCACAGATTATTGCAAGCTTTATTTCCTAGTCTCTCTCTCTCTCTTTCTCTATATAATATCTGGGTAAACATTTGAAATGCCAGACTAGTTTGTGAGGAGAGTTTTGAATTTAGCAATAACAATAAAAATTGTGACCTTTGGATGTGTGCATATAATTTTCCCTGGTCTTGAAAGGAAATGTGGAGAGAATCCATGGTTGGAAAGAGACTTCGCCCTGTCTTGATGCTGGTTACATTTGTTCTTCTCTCCAAAACAATGTCTGAAACCAAGCAAACTATTCATTAAAATGTATGATAATGTTTCCTACATTGTTTTCTACTAAAAAGGGTTTTATTTATTTATTTATATTAAATGAATGCATTAAAGACAGTTAAATGATGATGCCATGATGATCAAACAAAATTTTCAAGGGTTGAGATGCATCTGATACAGAATATTTCTATACAGAATATTTCTTTTGCTGAGGTTGTCCCTATCTTGTCACTCTATTCTTCTGACTCTTCTGTTCTTTTTGTTAAACCCCCCAAAAAATCATACTCTTTTTAGACAGCTGTTTACAAGTGGTGTGTTAGCAAGAATATTTAGCTGCAAACTACGTATCCATTGCAAATAGATTTATTTGTTAGTGCACGATTACAAATACCTTTGTTGCAAGCGTCCCATTCTATACCCAGAATAATAATTAGGACAAACATATTCATACTCACTTGTGGCAAAAATAATAATGTCTTGTGTGTGGAAAGCTAGTTATAAATCTTGCAATACTTGTTGGATATTGAATAATTGTTCTGTACATGTTTTGTTACCAGGACTGTAATTAAGTGGCTCTGCCCCTCATTGCCAACATTTAGACGGCAACAAAGTCTAAAGGTGAATCCATTGATGAGTGTAAGGGAAATAAACGGCAACATTGACTTTCCTTTTTGTGAAAACATAAACTTTGTATTTTTGGGACACCACATATTTCTCCTTGTTCTTCCTGGCTTACATCCGTTCCTCGTGGCACAATGGGTGGGGATGGCACCACTTGCCCTGGGCTTCAGAATGCCTAGTTACAGTTTTGGCTCTCATAGTACATATCAAGTGAAATACTATTTTTTTAAAAAAGTTACAGAGTATCTGAATATTCCAATGGCCTTGACCTTTTGCAATACAGCTGCTGCTGCTGCTGTTACTAGTAGTAGTAGTTATAATTATTATTTGTCATTAGTATTAAAATCACAAAGATAGATCTATTCTTCTGTGATCCTACAGTTTGTATTTGGAAGAATGGGAAGATGGAAGGGGAAGAATAGTGAGAAAAGACTATATAAATATATAATCACATAAATGCATACCTATGTTTTATTTCAGGAGAAGATCTGAAGTGAGACAAAGGTTCTGTCCAAGAGAGTGGATGTGAAGTGGAGTTGGAAAGAAGAGAAACCACTATGTTCTGGGAATGTGTTCCAGGCAACAGAGAATGACAAGTGATGTTAAGGGAGCTAGAAGCACTTGGAAGCTGAGATTGTTAGACCTGATAGAACTAAAGTCACAGAAAATGAATATATGGACAGAGCTGGCATGAAAGGCCATGACGAGCCTTTAGAAGTAAGTGCAAGGAACTTGTGCAGGCTACAGTACAGGCTGGAAGGAAGCTAGGATTCAAAGAGGGCTGACTTTAAATATGGTCTGAATGATGAGAGAGGCAGCATTGTCAATCAAAATGAGAAGCAGCCATGTAACAACAAAGGACTAGAGAAGAAGGGGGGGTTGGTATTCAAGAGGGGAAATGATCAATTTATGGACCATAGTTTTCACTAAGGGGGACCTATAGGAAAAGATGGATTTTTCCCAGAGTAGACAAGGGGAAGTGACATGTATTGGTGCATGGCTTGTGAATTTCTTATGCATTTTCCCTATAAAAAAGGAAAAAGCAGGGAAAAAGTTACACTGTTCCCATGTACCTGGATCAATGTTGTAAAGTACATCCAGCAGAAAAAATGCAACTAGACAAGACAGAGCTACATCCCCACTCCTGGAATCTCATGAGGAAACAAACACTACAAATGTGTGTGTCTGTTTATATTTCTTGTTATATTAGTTTATTTTAGTTGTGTGAGCTGGCCAACTCACCTTGTTTGTGTATGGCTGGCATCAGATGCACTGAAATTTAGCTTTTGGTTGCATGAAAAATGTTTCCAGGAAGAACTCACATTTTGCATGTATAACAGAGATTCATACTTCTGATTCCTGCTTGTTTCCTAGCATCATCTTTCTCTTGTGCTCCTGTCAGTTTAAGCGTATCGGAATAGCTTGTATTTCTGATTTGTTTAACTTAAAACCAATTCACTTGTTGCTAAAGTTGCCAGCTGGTCAGCAGCTTCCCATTCTCTGAAGTCTGAGGGTCAAGAACTGAGGAGGAGTGACCTTGTGATGGGTTCTTATATAAAAACTGCAGCATGGTAAGACGGAGTCCATAAGAAAGTCTCTGTGGATTTCCTGCACTACCTCCAAAACAAATATTGTGTGGCGGAGCACACATACGAGTGCATCTGTGCTGTGCCAGGGAGCCCCAGCACCAGTGTGATGCGAGTAGGAGATGAGTGCCCAGGCATTCAAGGTGCCACACAGAATAATATGAAATTCCCTCCTCCACTCCCCAGAATCATTCACCATTAGATTTATCTCCTTACCTGGAGTTCCACAGAAACAGCTGGTTTTTCAGAGTTCAGCTACTCCTGTTAGATCTGGCAACCCCTACATGTTATGCCCATGTAATGGTACTCTGATATAGTGCAGTAAGAACAACATTCACTAGTGATTCCTTTGCCACATCATTAAAGTCGAGTACATATCTCTTGGGAGGAAGTATGAAGAGTTGTGAAAATGTCCTTGGTGACTGTAGCAGTGTTGGCATTGGCATAGGTAATTACAAATGGTTGACCATGGAGGAGGGCTGTAGTGTACATAAGAGATCTAATGGCCTCGAGGCAGACTGGGTTAGGTTTGAACAGGTTTATAGTATTTTCTCTGCTTTACTCTTTGTCTTCTGCCTATCTTGTATTACATTGGGCCAATTTTCTAGCTGATTCACAAATGCATACGCCCAGATGAACACCATTGACTACCCCAAATGTCTGGGCTAATGGTGGACTATCTGCGTAGAGATCTATAGAAAAATCTGTTCACTCAGTTTTGTTGTCATAATTTGGATCTCTGACGGTGGACTATCTGCGTAGAGATCTATAGAATTGAATTGAACGGTTATATCACAATGTTAAACTTGTTTAGTCTCCAGTAGAAATGTAAGTTCACCTTTATTCTTTGCAGCTAGCAAGAGCTAGCTAATCATTTCACTTGCATGCATTGTCTGCTTAAAAGGAAATCCCTACTTTACAAAGAGAGGGAGAATGGCCAATGAAGGGAACATATTCTTCTAATTAAGCCAGTCAGTTTGTATCATTAGGACATCAAACATATATGCTTCTCTTAGAGAGCAACAAAACAGACTCACTGGAATTATAGATACTGTATTGTGCAATCGCCACTATTGAAAACAGAAAAGAATGGCCTATAATACCAGATGGTTGTTACAAAAGGAAATTGTTGCACATTTGCTGCCACAGATTCCGAATTGCTATGTTTGTTGGAAACATGACAATATAAAACTTTGATCTTCTTTCACTTGTAGCATAATATACTTGTATCTGCATGAACTATGCTGAAGAGCTTTATTTATGTAACCTGTCATCTGCTTTCGAGAATAAATAGAATGGCTATTTTCTTTGTGATGGTTAGTTTTCCAGGTTTCTTTTCTTGTCTTGCCTCTATACCTCTAAACATCGACATTTTTCAAATGATGTTTGCCACAGTAGTATGACTGACCAAAATAGCTCCATGCTTTGTTGTTGTTGTTATGTACCATCACGTTGCTTCTGACATTATGACTTAAGATGGCCCTGTGAATGAATGATCTCCAAAATGTCCTGTCCTCAACAGCCCTGTTCAGCTCTTTAAAAAAAGCCTTTGACTTCTTTGATAGACTCAATACATCTCTCATTTGGTTTTCCTCTTTTCCTACTGCCTTCAACTTTTCCTAGCATTATTGCAATATTTAAATGCTCCATTTCTTGCTTAACGGTTTCCAGTTCATCTTGATTCATATGTCTCGCATTTCATGTTCCAGTTGTGTGTGTTGTGCAGGATTGGACTTTTTCCCCACCTCTGTGCACATCAGCCACTAGACAGCATTTTGGCTCTAATCTTCTTGAATGCATACTTTAAGGGGGATTGAGTATATCAGAGAAGCCAAGAGCAATGCTGTCAGGAGGCTGGACTCAATTTTGATTTCAGTCTTTTAGCATGGTCAACCAAAGCAGAATGTTCATAGTTGAGGCACTAGACTACAATACATCTGCTCTCTTCAGGAGTAATGGCCATATCAGCGAAACAGAATGAATAGTTCCAGTGGTGACTGGAGTAGGCAAATTTCTGGAGGGTAGCTGCTGGGCAGCAGTGGTAACTGACAATGGCAGCGATAGTCAGTGTGATGTTGCGGATGGAGTAATGTATCAGGACTCAGGAGATTTGGATTCATTTCCCTGGCTGTGCGATTGAAACTCACTGGGGTTGGGTGGGACTGGTAAAACTATTATTTAAATACTTCACTTACATATTAGAGTCATTATAAGTCGACTCTGGCTTAAGAGCACAGCAGCATGCTTTACACCACCCTACAATCTGGCTTCAAGCTTAGAATCTGAGTGTTTTTCTTCAACAAAGATAAGGTATAATTGAATGAAATAGATCCTTAAACATTCATGTTAACATTCCTGGGAGTCCTGATTTACTTCTTGTTACCCATGCACATATATGGCCATTCACATGATGTCTGTGGAAAGAAAAATCAGTGCAATCTTGGGTTGTGAGTGGAAAGTTACTATAAACAAGCTAAAGTGCAGAACCTTTACTTGTCTAGTGTAGCTACTAAAAACCATTTTATTCTTTGTTGTGTTATTAGAGGTTGCAGTTTTTGGCTGGAATAATATTCTGTGACTATTGGAAACCAAAGTGGGCATGCCCAGAGACCTTTGAGTAGTGGGGGCGGCATATTAAATAAATAAATAAATAAATCACTAACACCAACACTAACACTAACACTAACAACAACAACAACACTAACACTAACAACAACAACAACAATAATAATAAAATTAGGAAACATTAGATATCATGATAAACCAAGATTTTATTGCTGGATTATGATTCTGAATGGTTTAAGGGTTCATACTTTGTTTAGACATTCCTATAGATAAAAAAACAGCTAGGATAAGCTGTGCATCTTCCTTCTGAGAATGTATTTGAAACAACTCTTCCATACATCTCCTAGTCCCAGACATGCAGGGCTTTCCTTTTAAATGTTACACTACAAACATGGTATACATTCCGAAGTAGTTGCCTATCTGTTCGGACTACTTCAGTGCAACAACAAAAGCCACACTAGATTTCTTTGTGGGAATCATGAGGTAGGGAGGAGTGGGTGGGTACTTGAATGGACGTGTATGTTGATAATAAAGAGTTCTAGTAAATATTAAGATGCTAACTCCAATGTACTGATAAGGATTTCTGTGATTATAAGGCATGTGTTTATACTATTTAGTGCTAAGCTTCTCTGCCTATCTACTGAAAAGATAGGAGTTAGCGGAATTCCTAGTGAACAGGTTATAAAGTAAGCAGCCACAGAACATGACATGAGTACAGTATATGTACATTGTATTTCTTTCTTGTGTGAGTTAGCTTTTAGTGAAATTGTGTATGAATTTTGTAAAAAAAGGGGTCATGGTGGATTGTTTGTGCATATCATCACTATTATGCACAACAGGATCAGCCATTTGTTGAAGCTTTCTTTCTTTCTTTCTTTCTTTCTTTCTTTCTTTCTTTCTTTCTTTCTTTCCTCCCTCCCTCCCTCCCTCCCTCCCTCCCTCCTAGGGCATTATCTTAAACCTTGCCACACCTTTTTTGTTAGGATTTGATAGAATTTAGTTAAACTAGTTCAAGAATACATTGAGTTTTCATGTTAGTTTAGTTTTTACTGTTAGTTTTTACTAATTAACACATACTAACCAGCTTCTGCACCACTAAAATAGAGTTATGATAGCACATTTTGGCTTCAGCACAATGTCCACAAGAGGAATAGCTGTGTTAGTATTGACAGTCTAATTCTCACCAAAATTGACACTGGGTTAAAGATAGGTACTAACCTGAGTAATGTTTAGGCTTTGGCACAGAGCGTAGTCTTTCTTTCTTTTTATATTTTACTAGTGAACTGACCCAGCTTTGTATAGTTTGTGCTAGCCTTTAGTTTAATACACTGAAGACTTCCTTGCTGCAAAGTTGAACAGCTGTTACCTGCCCAGTCTGCATGACGCCATAGCTACTGGCACACATAAGCATGACTTCTACCATAGTGCTGTCAGAAAGCCCCTTAAGGAAATGATCTGTCCACTCCCTTGCCGTGAGAAACTTACAGTACTCCACAACAGAGGAAGAGGCATCTGTGTCGCTCTTCTTTCTTGGAGTAATTCCCAGTGGCTTCAGACTTACTCAGT